ATAACATTTAAAATTAGAATATTGCATCAGAAATGTCTTGATGGAAAGTATATCTGCAAGTACTTCTAATCTTGAATGCATATTCTAATTTACTGAATATGACTCGAGTTAAATTCTGTCCCTTCTGGTCTTTTCAGGTTTACATGTTCCAGTATGATTCCACCCACGGCCGCTTCAAAGGTGAGGTCAAGGCCGAGGGAGACAAGCTGGTCATTGACGGACACAAAATCACAGTCTTCCACGAGTGAGTTCACCTCACAATTTCATTGTTTGCTTAGTACAATTAGGTACACACCAAAAAAAATGTTCTAAAATCAGCTTGAAGACGTGAGTGGCTGAACTTTTGTTTTGTTTTTCTTTCTATAGGAGGGACCCAACCAACATCAAATGGGGTGAGGCTGGTGCGGAGTACGTTGTGGAGTCCACTGGTGTGTTCACCACCATTGAGAAGGCCTCCGTAAGTGCTAACCCCTCTTGAGTGCCATGCTGCTTTAAAGATGAAAAATATTTTAAGGATAGTCGATCACTATGCTTGAAACATGCATGGATAAAATAAAACAAAATTGAGAATCTCATTGGTACTGGCCAAATACTGTTGTTTCTGCCACATTAAGTAGCATTGCTAGAGTTTCATGGGGAAAAAATGAAGGAAAATTTTGCACATTTGGATGAACTCATGACATGTCCAGGGTGTATCCCACCTCTGGCCAGCACAGATGAGCTGGTGTAGCTGATAGATGTTTTATAAAGCGCTCTACTGCAGCAAGCCAGATTCAGGGTCACATTTACTGGATGTAGTGTGATGGGCTAAAGCTGATTTTGGTGCCCCCTCTTGATCTAGTTTATTGCATGTGCAACAGGACATGTAGGTAAACTTCCTGTCTCCATGAAAATGGATTTTTCCAAAATAATCTTCATATTAGTAGGTTCTTTTTCATTAATTTTTTTTTCTCAAAAAACAGAATTTGCAAAGCAGAGTTATTTACACAAATCAACAAATTAAGCTCTCTTGGCACAAAACATTATTTCAAAATGAGAAAATATAAACAATCTATTAATTGACAATTTGATGACCCCAAAACCTAAAAGTCTTAGACTATTGAGGTACTCATTGCTAAAATCTACCCAGTTGCATTTTCTTTCTCAACATGCCATTTTACATTCTCCAGTTCATTTTTGGGGACTTCTGTTGGTTTAAAAAAAAATGCATATTAGCTATTTTCTCCCTGACCAACCAGCCTCTGACAGTAGAGGCTGCATGGCTCTTGGCAGCGTCGCTTGTTAGTCTTGATTTCTTACACATTATTTAACAGCTGTCAGTAAATGAGTCGTTTCAAAGACATTATTGCAGTCTCAGTTGGAATAGGAAGCCCACTGTCTTTTATGCTCAGATTTTTGTCTGTGGTTAAATTTTTGCATATTTTGATTAAATCGTAGTAATCACTAATCTAAGGCTATATAAACACCTTTTGAAATGCTTTTAAAAAAGGATGAATTCCTAATAAACATGACTACAAAATTGTTTAAGATGAAAAACATTTTTGCAGGGCCATCAGTCCTTGATAGTTGCTTGGGCTAGCTTGGTGTGAAATGCCTTTTCTTCTTTCCACACTCCCAACACTTTACTTTAGGCTCACTTGAAGGGTGGTGCCAAGAGGGTAATAATTTCTGCCCCCAGCGCTGATGCCCCAATGTTCGTCATGGGCGTCAACCATGAGAAGTATGACAAATCCCTCCAGGTGGTCAGGTGAGGATCCATGTGAACAGTAAAATAACTTTTACCAGTCGCCACTACTCCTTAACCAGACTGATTGTTCTTAAAATGTTTCCTTTCGATAGCAACGCCTCTTGCACAACCAACTGCTTGGCACCACTAGCCAAAGTCATCAATGACAACTTTGGCATCATTGAGGGCCTAATGGTGAGAATTTGACTTTATCTCTGAACAGTTTGGCTGACAGAGCTGCTTTAAGCCGCTTCCTGTTTTAAATAGAGCACAGTCCACGCCATCACTGCCACACAGAAGACTGTGGACGGCCCCTCCGGCAAGCTGTGGAGGGATGGTCGCGGTGCCAGCCAGAACATCATCCCCGCCTCCACTGGCGCAGCCAAGGCTGTTGGCAAGGTCATCCCTGAGCTCAACGGGTCAGTCTCCAAAATAATCTTGCCGTTTAATATAGTGTGCACCTGCAGCAAATGTATTTATATGCTTAAGTGCATCTATTGTGACTTTGTCATTTTCCAGTAAGCTGACTGGCATGGCTTTCCGTGTCCCCACTCCCAACGTGTCAGTGGTTGATCTGACCGTCCGTCTGGAGAAACCAGTAAGTTGTAGCAAATGGAAATTTCTCCTTTTCAATTTTTTTATTCTTCAACATAAAAGGAATAGTGATGAACAAAAATGACCTATTGAGTCATTTTACTGCTAAATATTTTTGTTTAAAGAAATCATTTGATTTACATTAAAATTAATAAATGAATGCACTTTGCTCAACCATAATAAATTTTCATTTAGGCACCAAAAGGCTTTAAGTTACTCGTCTTTTACAGGCAAAGTACGATGACATCAAGAAGGTTGTGAAAGCCGCAGCTGAGGGTCCAATGAAGGGCATTCTGGGATACACTGAGCACCAGGTCGGCACTCTTTTCTCTTTTTGTTGGAATCTTGACTTTTGACGAAGTACAGTGAACCTGATTACCTTATAATGTTGGATCAGATTTGCTCAATAAATTAGGAAACATGGCTGATCTCTTTGTGCAGTTTTAACTGACAAGGCCAATGGGTCATAAATCCCAAAAGAGCAAAATATGAGCTAAATGTTCTTACTGCACCCAAAGGAATATCCTCTAAATGTAATTAAAATGTGTCTTAATCTTGCTGATGGGAGTTAATTGGCTCACTTTGTTCTCGTTGCTCTCCTGCAGGTCGTCTCCACAGACTTCAACGGCGATTCTCACTCCTCTATCTTTGATGCTGGTGCCGGCATCGCCCTCAATGACAACTTTGTCAAGCTCGTTTCATGGTGCGCTTTTAGCAATACTTGACTAACCTGCATCTCTACTACCGACAATGCTTATGACTCCTTTCCCTCTGCTTTAAGGTACGACAACGAGTTCGGCTACAGCAACCGCGTCTGCGACCTCATGGCCCACATGGCCTCTAAGGAGTAAAACAACCAGCTGATGGACCGTCACAGTGTTGCTTTCATTCTCCTTTCTATACAGAGTTACAGATGTATGATCTGTGACTCTGCCTAGTTCCATCAGATGGTCGACCCTTACCATCATCACGTGCCTGAGGAAACGTCCCACATGACAAACGAGTTAATCTGTTGACCAATTCTTTCTTTTTTATTTGGTAAACTCCCTGTTCTGTTCTTGTGTTGAATGGAGTAGAGGTGTGGAAGTTCTCCTGTCTGCAGTGGACTAGAGCTGCAGTCAGTGGTGAAATAAAGTCCTTTGTTTGTGAGATTTAAGGCTCTCTGTGTCCTTTCTTGTTGCAACGAAGTTTAAAATGATCCTCCACCTCCAACTTAACTCTGTTTCTCCCACAATTAATGTACTTTTTGTTCAAATTCAAGATGAGATGGTTATTTCCACAAGGCCATCCACCAGCTCTTTAGTGTGGTGAGGAAACGATCATAATCTTGAATGTGACTCATCTAAAAATCTCTGGATTAGCAGGACTTGCAATTATGTGTTTAGTGTCAAATGTATTCTTTCTGTACTACTCTCATGCAATAGTGTAGGAGGATTATGAATATGCAAATTATGTGCAGCAGGGTTTTCATTTCTTGTGTAAAAATATGCAAATTGTGAGTCTTGCACTGATTTCAAAAAGCACATTGTTTCGGCATCTATTGGACATTTTTTTACTTTTCTGACTTTGCATACAAGTTTGTTAAAAATATTGAATTTGGTGTTCAATGTCCTTTCTGAAGCCTTCGAGTGTTTTTGTAATGAAAAAGCTCAACCAGAAACTGGACCAGATCTACAGAACATCAGCTGAATGTGTAATTTCACAAACTGTCCTACTTCACTACAGCTCAAAATTAGATCATATTTTCCTTTTTTGAAAAGAAACCACATTTTCCCACTCTGAAAAAATGAAATGGTTGTTCAGACTTATTGCTGCTATGAGAAATGTATCCAAATTTTCAAAATGATGCAGTTAATCAGATTAAGTAAAAACTCACAAACCAAATTTGACAAGTTATGTGTTGCACAAAAGGGACTGCTCGTCCCTGGCCCATCATAACTCCAAAGCATACTTGGTTCATCTATTCAATTTTTTTCATGCTTATGAAACCAATATTCATTTTACAAGATCCTTAAAATAAGTTGACTAAATTGGTGACAACTGTCTAAAAAAATGCTAAATAAGATCCATAAAGAAATAGAGCTGTTAAGAATGACTAGAATCAGCTGTAACCAAAATAAAAATAATTTGAGAAAAGGCCTCCAACCAAATTTCTTCTAGCATTGCCCTGATTCACCTACCTTCTAATGAACTCGTTTGCTTCACTGTCTCTGCTCAAGCATCTCCACAGCATGCTCAGTGTGTCACTGTGTGTTTATTTTGGGAAACAAACATATTGTGCTTTGCAGGTTTGTAAAAAAAAACAAAAAACATTCAACTTTGGACTCTTCTGTTCAGAACTGCCAATTTCTCTAGAAATGCCTTTTCCTGCCACTCTACTTTTCCCCATCGATACTATAGAGTTTTGTGAGACGTTCAACACTTTGCATATGTTCAAAATGTTATTTATGGTGTGATGTGAAAGAAACTGATCATAGTGGACTAAAGGGGTCTAGATACAAAAGTACAATCTTTGTTTTGTTTTTTTCTTTTTAAAAAAGGACGTTTCTAAAATCCTGTATCAACAAAATAAAACAAATCTCGTTGAGAAGAAGTTTGTGGTTGTAACGGGCCATCGTGAGGGGCAAAAACATTTTTTGTAGCGTTGTGGACTTCTATTCGTGTATTTACGGTAGGAGGATCCTCCAATCCCGCAGCACTTGCTCCTGCTTGCGGTCGCATCTCCCAGACTGAGCCCCATTAACGCGGAGAAGCTGGATTCGTTTGTTGTTCATTCATCCTCTGCGTGTTTTCCGCTTCACGTCGCTCGGTTTATGTTGCAGCTCATCTCTCTGGTGCTTGGTGGAGTATTCCTCTGCTGGGTTTCGGCTCCATATTTGCTGTAGTTGTGGACCGTCAGAGATCAGGGATCCAGCAGCAGCAGCGGCTCCAGCCACGTTAAGACCTCCGGGCTTTAAGGATCAGGTTTTTATTTATAAACGCTTACATAATCAGGTAAAGCAGTGGTGTTTTACGCTGCTTCTGCTGGCTGCGCGCTGCTGTTAAGTGAAGTTTATCTTGAAATATTATTCTGCTGTCGCAAGACATTTCTCCGCCCGAGTTCATGCCAGATCTGCAGCGCTTTAGTTTTAAATACCATAGCATGAATCCTTTGTTGGGGGCCAACACGCATCTCCAGCAGCACCCCCAGCAGAGCCAGGCCCCCGGACACCCGGACTCCCCCTCCGTCCTCCTTCCCGAAGCCGCGTTCGGCGCACCGGACCCGGCCTCTCTTCTCCTGGGTGATCAGGCCGCCCCGGGGCCCGATCAGCCGGGACATCCGCAGACCTCCTCTTACCTCCACCACACCCACAGCGGCCCCTACCAGCACCGCGCAGCCCCGCAGCAGCAGCAGCAGCAGCAGCAGCAGCAGCCGCACCCCCCTGCAGCCATGGCCCTTAGGAACGACCTGGGCTCCAACATCAGCGTCCTCAAGACCCTCAACCTGCGGTTCCGATGCTTTCTGGCCAAAGTGCACGAACTGGAGCGCAGGAATAAGATACTGGAGAAGCAGCTGCAGCAGGCGCTGGATGCCAACAAGGGCTGTCAGAGTGGATGCTGTGAGAACAAGCTGCACACCCAGGAGGCCGGGGTGCAGACCGGGTTTGTAGGGACCATCCCGCTCAGGCCGGGCTCTCTTCCCTTCCACAACACCAACAACTCAGCAAGGAGGCCCACAAGCCTGTTCCCACCTTCATTTGCAACAACCTACCTACCAGCAGGCTCTGAAAACTCCAGCTCAACCCAAACCAATGGCACCTGTAACCCAGCCATCACCATCAGCCAGGCCTCGCCGTGTGTGGACTCTCCAGGGTCGAATAAAATAACCCAAAGCTGCTCCACCAACCCTCCTCCACGGTTCCTCCCGGGGACCATCTGGTCTTACAACCACACTCGTAAGTTTGGCCCCGGGGCAGAGCGCCTGCCAAGCCCCGGGGTGTCCTGGATGCACCCGGATGGAGTCGGGGTCCAGATCGACACCATCACCCCTGAGATTCGAGCGCTCTACAACGTCCTGGCCAAGGTGAAGCGCGAGAGAGACGAGTACAAACGCAGGTAAACAGATTAAAACACTTTTATTTAACTGTCATACTACAAACCCTCTCATTGCAGAATTATATCTTGAGTGGGTTTTTTTTTCTCATGGTCTTCATTGGATGAGTGAGCAGGACTGCTAAGCAGCTGCAGATCAGCTGTCTTCAGCAGGAGACAGCTGATCTGCAGAGTAAGCACAAAACCTGCCCATCCTGCACCTCCAGCTTGGTCTGCGTTCACCTCATGCTTTCACCACAGAGGCAGGTGCTGCTGCCACAAATGCCCAGGAAAAAATGCACATGTGAGGAGCTAAATATAAATCTGATTGACTGTTAGGACTGCAGAAAGGCCAGGTGGTGGCACTCACTTCCTAAAATGCAGACGAAGTTCATTGTTATTGAGCCTGAGACACAACAGAGGCCGCTTTTGGTTCTTTTTGCTGGTTTGAATTCTTCATCTCTGTTGCTTTAATGTTTTAATCAGCTAAATGTCATCATCATCATTATCAATATGATCATCATCATCATGTGGGCTGGATTTAGGCCACAGCTGTGAGATGACATCACTCTGCAATGTTCCTTTCAGAACAACAGTTTACTGCTGCAATGCGTTCAGTGTGACTTTCCCTTTAAAAGGATAACTCAGGATTTAGCCATATGGGGTTCTGCTGGAAGGGTGTAAGTTGTTAATATCTAACCCACGGTATACAACTCTTAAAGCATCTTGGTTTAGTATAAATTCAGATTAGTGAGAAGTATCAGATGCTGTTCTGTGGACTCACTTAACAATTCAGACATTTGTTTGAGAAGTTGAACTGCATATTTTGCAGAGATGCAGAAAGGAGTTTTAAACTTAGAGTGGTGTTGAGTTTGCAGCTACGTTATGTAAATCTGTTGGTGTCAGAGCCTGAAGGTGAAGTAGCCATAGGCAATATAGACTTAAAGTTTTATCACAATATTTTGCGACAGTAAAAGTGTCAATTAGAACTTTTATTATTTCTTTTTAGATGACTGTGGTTCTGACCGCATGACACGGCAATCAAATCCCCACAAACAACGGTAATAATGCTTCTTTAGAACACCAGTCAGATAAAGACGTGTGACTTGCATCACTAAGCTGCTCACAGTAACTGCATTTAACCATATTTTTAAGATTTGTGATATTCTCATTGAACAAAAGGGGGAAAACGAACAATGTAAATCAAATCGCACAGTTTTGGCGGTGTATAAGCGTCATTACTTAGAATTTGTCATGACAACTATGAATCAAAATTCTTATCATTATAGAAATTTATCACGATAACTGATAAACAATATGAAAACGGCTTCCCTCAGCTGAAGCTAACGGTTAATCTGGGAGGAGCCCAGGCCAAATCAAACTTCTAGTGTCTTAAAACAACTTTTAATAAAAATATTTCTGCAAGTTCTATTTATCTGACCCGTGATGATGAACCTGATGGTCTCCCATCTACTTATTAACGCACATAGTTCTTAGGCTACAGCTTAAACAGCTTCCCTTCCTGTGTGGGTTCAAATCTGTATTTCTCCAGCTGATGTTGGACAGAGGCCAATGATTATTTACACAGGAAATGGACGTAGGAGGAAGTGCATCACCGATTAGCGTTCTGCGTCAAACTCCTACTGATGACTGAGTATGCAAAACATTTCTGGTTGGAGTAACTCAGAGGAAGCAATAAAATGTAATGAAATAGCTTTCATATAGACAACTTCCAGTCGTTGTTTAGGTGAAAGCCACTTTAAATAATATTGTGTTCACATGCTAGTCATGTTTATGTGTCCAGGTGCAGCCGTGGAAAAGATGGTGTCTGGTGCAGGAATGTCAGGCTCCCAAATTTGCTTATTTAAGTTGTTGACCTTCATTGTGCACTGGTTCACCATTAGGTGTTAAGTAGCCAGTCTGAGACCATAAAGTATCGTCTTCTCCCTGTAAGTCGGAGGATTGGTTTGCCGTTGCACCTTCCTAGTATCAGAGTCAGAGCCACGTCATAAAAATAAGTCTCATCCAGTAAATATTTGACCCTCTCCCCGTTTTGTTCTGTGTGTTTATGAAGGGTCACAGTGCATGGTGACAGTCTGAACACGCTAATATCGCTCGTCCCTTTATCTCGGCAAACAAATGCTCTAATAATGTCACCTGAATGTAACACCACTGTTTTAGACACCCAGTGGTGTTTGTGAAGGCTTTAGTATTAACAACACCAATAAAAACCCGGTAGTTTTCAAAACCAAAGGTTTTTATTGACTTAGTGTAAAGTAATCAGCTCTGAGAGCTGCTGTATGCAGAGTATTGACCTACGTAAACTGAGTAATGATGCTAATTTGGCATTTTATTATAAAGCTCTGTAGTCTTGCAGATTTTAGTTGATGGATCAAAAACAAAAATCAACACAATTTGTTTTAGAAATGCTGCTTACATTTGATTGCCGGCCCAATGAAATTGTTTCTTTTCTCTATTCCAGCAGCAAACTAGTGATGGGTTAGTACTGTTCTTTTAGCTATAGCTAGAGTTCATGTTGGTGGAAACGCCAAGAAATGATGCTAAGTAGGTGCATCACCAGTTAATCACTGGATCCTGGTTGGTTTCTGGGAAAAACTCTTGTATATTCCTTCTGCTTGGAAATGCTTTGGAATCCTCCAGTTACCCCATCTGGCAATAGACAATAGATGGATTTGCTTTTTTAACATCACTGGAAATACTTCACTGTACATGTTTCACACAGGAAGGTCGATGGTGATGCACTCATATCCCATGTGAATTATGACTTCTCTGTTATAAATCATCCAGTGTAAATGGGGTGAGAGTTTAAAATTGGGAAAGAGATTGTTAGCATAAACCACTATGATGCCAGAGGCTTTTTAAAAATAATAATAATTTTGGCTGTGTCCCTTGTGCATTTGGGGGTTGGTTTGTTTTGGATTTTTTAGATTCTGAAGAGAAATGTTAATTTTATATTGATTTAATGGACAATAAAATAGCTTAACTTTCAGAGGCTAAAGGTCTGAGCAGCCTGTAGCTTTAGCCTAAAGCAGAGCTAATCTGGATCTATGCTGAATGAAGATGAGAAGAGCCATTACTTTCTGCTTCTAACTTTCTAGCAAGACCTCACTGAAGTATCCCTTTAAGTCGATAAGCTTCATTCTCCAACATGAATGAAAAAGACACAGAATGAAATTCCTTTTTCTGGAGGTAATACACCTTTAAATCCTCGTTTTCAGTAAGGAACACAGTTAGTTATTGTCTTCTCTTAGTGACCTTCAGCAGGCCTCATGTCCCTGCGCATTCATCACCGCATGCCCTCGCATTGTGTCCGAGCGATCAGCACTGCATTCTTCAAAGACCATCCTAACCACGTTATAGTGGCTCTTTGTGGACGAGGCGGAGGGACGACTGCAGCCGCTCAGGAATGCGACGCTGCACTGACTCCTGCTTTCTTTGCAAATTGAGACTAAAGACACTGAATTAACACTTCTCCAGCTGAGACAATAAATGAATCAGTGTCTGTGCATCTGAGGAATCCCTTAAATTTCTCCAATTGTAATAATGTTAGTTGTCATTTCTAAATAGAAGCAAGGTTGCACTGATCAAAGCCTCTGTCACCCATGTCTTTTTGTTTTTCATGTAACTTGTCTTCCACTTTTACTTCTTCTCAGTTGGTGCCCCTCACCTTCCTCCTCTCTGGTAGCCACAGTCTCTATCTCAGCTTACCTTTACTTGAATAACCAGAAGCAGACATCCCACTTCCTCTCCTTTGCTCACACTTTCTTCCATTGCGCAGTAACCCTACACACACACACACACACACACAGTATCTGCAATGCAGCATGCTCTGCAAAGCTGTAGCAGCTAAAAGGAGGGGGCCTCAGCACTCCTCGACTTTGTGCACCTCGCCTATCAAGCAAGCATCCCCCCTTTAGCGACTGGAGCCCCCTGCTTCATGACTCAGATCCTTTCAGATTTAGTATTCCCTGATGGGTTTGGCGTTTTGCAGCGTTCTGCAAGAGTTTTTCGCAGAATGCAGAGCGTGGATTTTCCCCTTATGAGTGGATGGTATAAGGCCACATATTCGTCTCGCAGCTTTTAAGTGTATTAAAGTTAAGATTTAAGAGTCAGTCGTGTGAGCAGCTGCATGAGAATCATCTGTCAGGAAGTCAGCAAAGTGCTTAGTTTAGTTCTCACATGTTTCCCTGCAAATGTTTCAGCTGTTTGCTTTTCTTTCAGCATGAAAGCGAATCAATGATTTTCAAGCATTAGAGTTGTTCCTCTCCTTTTAGAAAACTTTGTATTTCATCTTGAAATTATATTACTTCAATGTCAAAATAAATTGGTCCTTATGAAGAGGTCTGAGGATGGTGTTTTAAAACCACAAGCAGGTACAACTGAAATGAAAAAAATCATACATGTATATTTCTAGCTTTATTTCTTCAGTTTTCTTTCCTTTGTTTCGCCCACACCACAAGTGATGTCTTTCAGACCCTGTAACACATGTAGGAAAAACCTTCTGTTTAAAGTTTTTCCTTCTCAGTAATTTTTTGCCTTTCCTTTACACCTGAGGGACAAAGGAGTCGATTTGAGCCAATTGTAGTATGTAAGTCTAATAATTGCCTTTCAAAATCAAAAATAGTTTGACTTTTACAAATTTTTATATATTACAACTTTAATAAAAAAATATTTCCACTTTTAAAATGCAAAAAAAGGTTAATGGTTTCCACTTTTTTCCATCCGTCTATCGTCCGATTCAAACCCAGGACCTTCTTGTTGCAAGTCAACAGCTGTGCACTGAAACCTTTGTTTTCGTTTCTTCACAAAGCAAATCTTAAAAGTTTTGATTTGTATTCAGTTCTACTGATTCAAACATTTGTAGAACCACCTTTTGCTGCAATTACAGCTGCAAGTCTTTTGAGCACATTTGCAGACGGATGTTTTTACCCATTATTTATTCTGAATTAGCTCAGACTCAGTCAGGTGGGACAGAGAGGAACTCCTAACTCTAGTTTTCAAGCTTTGCCCCAGATTCTCTATTGGATTCAGGTCTTGACTTTGACTAAATGTTCAGGTTTTCCACCAAAAGCAACACTGTAGCTAGTTTCCTCCAGCTACAGCATATTTGCTGTGTTTCCTACATGGATGTATTCTTAAGATGCCATTCTATGAAAAAGGCTGATTTATGGATTTCAGGCTTGCTTGTTCTGCAGAAGCTGCAAGGATAATCTTGTTGATGTTCATATCCTGATATGACCACCAACATCTCTCTTAAAATCCTGGGATGTTGTTTTCTAATCCAACCTTCCTTTTAAAGATATAAACATCTGAGTTCCTTGAGCTTCATGATGCTCTTTTATCTCTGATGTTCTTTAATAAACCAGAACATCTGGATTTACTCACACTCAATTATACAAAGATAAACTGGGCTTAAAAATCAGGAGACTTGTCAAGTTAAGTAGAAACACTGGAATTTATTTATGGTTGCTGAATCAAATGGTTGCCACACTCTTCAGGTTTGTATTTGTAAAAACTGTTGCAAACACTGCATCTTTGTTTTGTTTTATCAAATAAATGTCTAAAGAAACATATTGAAGATGGTGTTTGCAAGAAATTGTTGCTGCTTTTCCAAATTTCTTTGCACTTCACCTTTGGGACGATGTGAACAGTCAGGAATGCTTGTTGAGTATCTCCATCTTCTTCTTTCTATTTGCTATAACTCTTTAGTGTGTCCACAGCGTGTTTTGGTTTATTTTTATTTTTGAATTGAACATCCATCTGGCACCTCTTTGTTCTGCGTTTGGTTCCCATTACTTCTCTCCGCTATACAGCACAACCTGAGCTGCTGCTGAATGACAGTTCTTGATGTGGTGCCATCTGACCACTTGGAGATCATGAGTCTCCATCTCAAGCTTGCATACAGTTTTCTGTCAAGCACAGAAAATGCTCCGTCAGTAACTACATATGGAGTCATTAGCAAATCTTCTGCAAGCTCAGTTTTTAAACATTTATTTCAATATTTGATATTTCTCTGCTCATCTTGCAAAAGAGTGATGTTCATTAAAACTTATTGTAAGCTTGTTAGGACCTTGGACTATGTGCATTGAAGTTAAGTCATTTTAAATCAAATTATCATCACATAATTTATGTAAAAATATATGTTTGACTTGAAAAACCATCTTTTTAAAACAGATTCTTCTTATGTTTGATATTTGTAGAGATGAAGATCATTTTTCAGGTTTACAATGTTGATTGCTTTAGGTTTTTCAGGAGTTTTGTGTCAGCTGGTTCAGAGGCCTCCAGCTGTGCAGCTTTAGGAAATGTTCCCTCTGTTGCATTACATCTGCTATGGCATGTGCTGTAATGTTTCTCATAGCCAAAATTTTGAATTGATGCTCAGCAAATATTTGAGGATTCATAGTTTACGTCAAAGATGGCGCAATGATATGCACTTTGCATTGGTCTGGATTCAGATGCAGAAGGACAGTCTGGCTGAAGCTTCTACTTACCCTGAACATGTGTGTTTTTAGATGGGAGGAAGAATACACCATGAGGATGGACCTGCAGCAGAAGATTGCAGATCTTCAAGAGGTAACACTGTCTGGCAGAAGTTCCTGCATGGACATTTTTTATTTTTTTTACCATGAAAACTTGAACTGAAGGGACTTGGTTGTTGTGGTTACAGGAAATGTAAGGTAAATCCTGGTAAAAGTCGTGTTGGCACCAATCTTCTTTGAAATGCCAGTTTTCTGTTTTGTGAGCTGTAATATAATTAATTTGAATTGATTTATTGAACTGATTTATTGATTGGAGTGATTGCACACAGCTGCAGTATGAACCCGATGAGCAAGAACCTTCACCCTTTTTAAGCCACTCATATTTTCCTTAGTAGTGCTTGATGATGCATGCTGCAGCCATTGATCTCTGCTAATTATTCATTTTTAAATCAGTTAACATCTTTTCCAAAAGAAGGCATTTTCACATAGGAAGTCCTACTACTAAATTAGATACTTACCTCTCTGAGTGTTAGATTGCCTTATTTGTACTTCCTGCAGTTGTGCTTCGATCTACGCACATTATGTCTTTGGTTTCCTGTGTGTGCATGCTTTTTTATACTTACAAGCAGCAAGCATTGCCAGGAATCTCTACCTTGACCCCGTTTGCATGGCAGATTCACATAGCCAGATTGACCGCAAACGGCAAAAAGCACAACTCCAGAGAGATAAGAGCCTGACCATCGTTGCTGCGCACCTAAACAAGTTAGAGGAAAAAGTCATGTAGACTTCCCCAAAACTCAATCTGCGTCTGGAGTGTCACTGAATGCTCTGCAGAAGAAAAGAAGCTGTTTTTAAGTGTTGTGCTTTACAGCCAGACGTCTCTGCAGGTGTTTTCATAAATCTTGTTTCCTGGTTACTGTTTTGTGAGCAGGACCTGCAGGAGAGTGAAGGTTGTCAGGACGAGCTGGCTCTCAGGGTGCAGCAGCTCAAGGCGGAGCTGGTTCTCTTCAAAGGCCTCATGAGCAATGTGAGCAGAGCGAGCGCAGTCACAACATGACCATCTCTTTTATTGTAGCACCAATAAATGCTTCCTCATTTGACAGACTGCAGCTTTTCTTAAAGAAAATGTGCAAATTTATTATTCATTAAGATTTTTAACATGGAAATAAATTCGGTGAATGTTCGCTTAGTGTTCCAAGTTCTTGGCCTTGTAAATATATTTGTACCTCTTTGATTGTTTGATGTTTGTGCATTTGCAAGCTCAGACGTTAATGCATTCTATGTGATAGATCAACAAAAAGGTGGAATACATGGAAAGATTGTTTTAAAAACTTGTTGAAAATACAACCAGTGTGGTATATTTCACTCTGTGAACAACAGTCTTTAAATTTCGCCACCAATTCTGAATTAAACCTGGACTTTGTTTGGATTTCTTATTCTTCATGATCCTGTTTGTCCACTACTGTTTTCTAGCAAACAGTAGTGGACAAAGAGCTGGAAAAGAGCTGCTGATATTAAATTAATATGATTACATACTAACTATGTAAGATGCAATAGATTTTATAAAGCAGTATTGAATTTAGGGCTGGAGAGTTAAACAGTAACAGTATAGAGATCTGGAAAAACAAGTTAAGAGATCACCTCAAAATGATTAGTTTCTCTGATTTTACTCTTTATTGTCTTTTTGTACGAACTACTGACAACATGTCTGAAATTCAAAAGAAAAATTTATTAGCAGAAAATGAGAAATGGTCAAAATAACAAAAAAGTTGCAGCGCTTTTAGACCTCAAATAAATCAAAGAAACAAGTCAATATTCATTTAGAAACAACAATATTAATGTTTTAATTCAGGAAGAATTCAGAAATTAATATTTGATGAAATAACCAGGAGGTTTTCAATGGGGTTCAGTGCAGTGGGGTCTTCATTTTTTTGGATACGTGATCAATATCAATACGTCTGGTACATTGTTCAATAGTTTCATTGAACTCCAATTCAGAACTCCCATCCACTTAACCAAGGTCAGAGGTCAACTGACTCACTCACTCTTTGGTTACCTAGCAACAACTTGTTGAGTGACTCACGCAGCAGCAGCTTCAAGTTTTGCCATTACGCCTCACAACTGCTCAAAAATAAAAGTATAAAGTTGAGGAGTGAAAGGAGAAAATGAGTTAAACAGCATTTTCTGGTGAAACCAGTTTGGCAGTTTAAAACAACAAAACGGATCAATAAATATCAACTAATAAGAAACCCTGACAGTGTGACACGTTTTCCAGCCACACTATCCAGCCACATATGGAGTAAGTGAAGTTAAATATAAATGCACGCCACAGTTTTCAGATCATATTTCTAGAAATTGTTGTAAACCATGTATGACTTAATTTCCACTTCACAGTTATACACTTGTCGTCTTATCACTGAAGAGGCGAAAATATACATTGAAGTTTTTAGTTATAACATGACAAAATGTGGAGAAAAAAAAAGGATGTTTTTAGTTGGCTCTCCTGCTGTCTTTTTTTTTTTTTCATGATTTTGAAACGTGATTCTGTCCTCTGCAGAATTTGTCTGATTTGGACACCAAAATCCAGGAGAAAGCCATGAAAGTGGACATGGACATCTGCAGACGAATCGACATCACTGCTCGACTGTGTGATGTCGCGCAGCAGAGGAACTGTGAAGACGTGATCCAAATGTACCAGGTACTCGGGGTGTTCGCTTTCACTTAACAAACGTCGACTGAGTTTGATCTCCTGAACTTAATCTTGTTAACGCCACTGCAGGTTCCAAACAGCCAATCATCTCTGAGTATCCGGCGCAAGCCGACGCCCCTCTCCTTTAACGGGAGTGAATGTGATGAACCCGTCAGCACCTCCGAAGGCGAAGTGGGCGTGGCTAAAGAAGAGGAGCACTTTGGATCTTCAGCCAATCAGATCAATGAGGAGATGCAGAGGATGCTGACTCAGCTGTTAGTGGTCTGCTTGTAACCACAAAGACATTTATCTGATAAAAGTTCAGTCTTTTTTTAATAACCACTAAGTGCACGTGTGTTTGTGTTGTCGTCACAGACGCGAATGTGAGTTTGAGGATGACTGTGATAGTCTGGCCTGGGAGGAGACTGAGGAGACTCTGCTTCTTTGGGAGGATTTCCCAGGATGCACTCTGCCTCCAGATCCGACCCATCCCCCAGGAGAGGTAAGCTGTACCAATGTGAGTTATTTTTAGAAAGCGATCCTGTGGTGTCGGCCCGAATATGTGGTGCATTGATGAAAAATACCCATTTTCAAAGCACAATCAAAATAACAACGCTCTTTAGTCATGGAGGTTGGGCTGAAAAAGTGCAAATAAAACTTTGACAGACCTTCAGAAATGTTTCATATCTGTACCCATCAAGACTGTTTTTAAATATTACAAGAAAGTCTGCTTAGAAAAAAACAACGAACAAATGACACAGTTGTCAGTTTATGTCTGGCACGCTTAAAATCTATCCTCACATTTTGGTATAAATTTCTCCATATTACAATATTCAAATAGTATTACTTTTTTACGCAGTTTCATTAAACAGTTTTAAGCTCTACTGACACTGAGGAGATGAATTTGTTTTTGTTTAGTATTATAAAAATCATCAGTGCTTTTCTGCGCTCTGCTATTGTCAGATTTTCTTGTGTCGCCAGAAATTCAAAAAGCTTCGTATGTTGAAGTTTTTCATGTTTTTCGAGTTCTGATGTCGTTTGATGACTCTTCTAACACCAGGACTGTTTACAACCTTTCTTGTGTGTTTGTTCCCCATGCAAAAAAAAAATGCATGTAGGTGCTTGATGTCATTCAGCAGCTGCTTCATTGTTGAATAGTCTGTTTGAAACGAACAGCTGCGTTAGTCAGTGAAATCTGAGCATAAAACAACCATGGGCGCTATGGTTGGATTGTTGTCTCTCCTGTGTCGGATTATGCAACAACAGTCTCATTTTATGCTTACTACATTTTATCATCTCTACATATTTATTTTCTTGTTCTCAAACTGTCACTGCTCTGTGTTTGTCTGTGGGAGGAGGACTGTCTGGAAAAGGTGATTAATGACACAGAGTGTCTGTTCAAGTCCCGCGAGAAGGAATACCAAGAGACAATTGACCAGATTGAGGTCAGACATTTTTTAAACTTAAATAAGATTCCTGCCCATGTGTGTTACCTTTCTTCTTTCATTTCTTTTCTTTTTATTTACTTACATTCTCACCTCATCTGAACAGTGATCTAACACAGCTTTCCATATGTTTATGGATGTGTTGCATGCACATTTGGAACTTGCGGTGTAAAATCTTTTTCGGATGTTTAATTTGAATAATGAAGCTGGGTTTTGAATCCTGTATTTTCTAATCTTTTAAAGTTGGACTAAACATTCCTGTCTGTGATTGTATGGATTTGAATCTTTTGGATGTGTTTCCAGCTGGAATTGGCCACAGCCAAGAGCGACATGAACCGACACCTGCATGAGTACATGGAGATGTGCTCGATGAAGAGAGGCCTGGATGTTCAGATGGAGACCTGCAGGAGGCTCATCACTCAGAGTGGAGACAGGTACAAACACACACACAAGCATAAGCAGCATTTCTTCTATTTTTCTAGTTTTAGAACTTTTCAGGTTTTCTTTGTATGATATTTGTTATTTTAGAACAAACATAGAATCCAGAAAAAAATTCTGCCAGAACAGAAACATTTAGTTTTCATTACTACTTAGAAACTCTGGAGTACTCATTACTTTTACAAATTTAGAGCACACTTAGAAAGCCCAGAGAATACTTACACTGATTTAGCAAAACAGAACAGGAATTAGAACTACGAACCTTAGAAACTAATTTTTAAACTCCTATTCTCCCATCCCAGAAAAGGAATTACACCAGAGGATACTTACTTATACTTAACTAGAACAGGAGTATCTAGTTTATTTACTTTGGATCAATATTATTAGCTTTTTATTCTTTGCTCTTTCTTTTGGTTTTGCTATTTTGTTTGTATTTCCTTTCAATTCCTGTAAAGCACTTTATATTGTCTTGTTGCTAAAAATGTGTTATATAAATAAAATTAACTTTACCTTTTACCTTTATTACAATGAAGTTTTAAGCTGTTTGTTTGTTAATCCTGACTGTATAAATATTAACCAATTTGTAGTTTGAGACCTTCATGAATATGAAAACCTGGAAAACAGACATTTATATTTGCATATGTCCATATTTAAAAGCATGTCACATGCATGATTTTGAAAATTGTGATTAATCACATCTCTAGAGTATGATTAATCTGCTTAAATCTTTAAATTGATTAACAACACAAATTTTTATACACATTTGCATAATGTTAGGATGTTTATGTTAGCTATAAAGGTTTTAAAGTAAGTAGACAAAGGAAGACAAAACTCTAAGAGTCTGAGTCTGTTAGTTGTATGTTTAGAAATATTTTATTTTTCAGTTCATGAAACATATCAGCTCAAGAATTACTCTCCTTTATTTTCTGACTTGTTTCTGTTTGTGTGTTTTCTGCATGCAGTAATCCCGTTGTACCGTCAGAGGAGAGCGACCAGAGAGACACCGACAGATCTTCCTGCTCTCCGCCCTCTTCGTCGAGCAATGGGAGATCTTGACACTTCGTCACTCGGCCGTTGAAAGACGCTGCGTTCATATGACCTCTGCGACAAACTGCAACAGTACCACACCGTATACATGTGAAACTACGGCAACACCGTGTTTACATTTGAGGAAATCCATTGAAGATATTCTATAATTAATTGATGATGTGTTGCCCGTACAGATTAGTCTGAGGGGAACCTACAAATCAGACTGATTGATTTCAGACTTTAAGAAAGTTAAGATCCTGAACTGATTGTCAGAAAAACAAGCTGCTGTTAATTATTGTGATGCAGGGAGGTAACAAAAACTATAAACTAACTTATTTAATCTTCAAATCATCATACATTTCATCAGTGATGATATATGAGCAATATTTAAAACTCTTATCCTCAGTAAAGTTTCTATAAAAACTGTAATGTTCACTCCTTGTGTATTTACAGTCTTTTTGCCCATAAATATCCAGCTGGGGATAAGGAAAAGATAACGAGTTGTTTTTCACACCATCAGGTAGTTTCTAATCAATGTTTGTGTTTGAAATATAATTAGATCCCCTGAGGAACAATTTATTTGCCTTCCACACATCCTGATGAATTGAATCTCACAAGGTAATTTTGTCAAATCAAAGAAATAGATAAACACATAAAAGTATCAAAACAGAGTTTGAGTTTGTGCTGAACGTCATACAAAACTACATAAAGTACATACTCAGTACATATCTCATCCATCTGGACAGTTTAAAGTGCAGTCACTCTGAAAAAAGTCATATATATATTTGGACATATTTGTCCACTCATTATTTATAGGCTGTGAATCATGTCATCCTCCCACCCTCCGCTCAGGCTAAAGATGGCTCCTTTCAGCAAGACAGCTGCAAAGAATTAACTCGCAACATCGCTCTTAGTTGCATGTTGATAATTTTGGAGTCAGGCTTTAGGGGAGGAAATCACACTCTGCTTTCAGAGGACTTTAAGCAAGCGTTATTGTTATTGTACAACAGCAGAGCAGCGACATGATCACTGAACGTCCCACATTGTTTCAAAAGAATCAAGGAGGCAATGAAAACTGGATGATTAAATTCTCAGGAGGATTGCCTTTAAGATACAGTTTATGGTCTACAGAGGATGTCAAAGTAAGCAAAAACAAAGGATTGCCTTGTTTCATATAAACACTACACATCTACAGGATCTGGCAGGAATCTACTTTGAAATCCGCTAGCTTGACTATTTGGTAGGAAACAATCTTTACTTCTTCAAACTGAGATAATTGAAACTTATTAATTATAAATCAGGAATTTATTGCTCAAAAACCCTGTCCCAAACAATCTTTGTTTCTCCAAACTCGAGTAGTAGAGTTTTTTCATTGCATATAAGAGATTAAGAAGAAAAAAACATGAATGCAATAAATATTACACAATGAACTCCTCTTAAGAATGCTTAAGGTTTGATGAGCTGGAGAGTAAATAAACGTGAAACAACTCCTCCTTGGACTTGGTTTTACTCTGATTAGCTGTTAGCTTTACTCACCTGCAGGCTTCTCATTGCTCACAGTGTCTCCTCAGAACCCCACTCTAAATAATCCACCTCCATTTTTAAACTTGGAGCTGTTTTGAGGCAACAAAAATCTAATTTGATCCTTTACAATGCAATGACTCACTGCTAGCTTTTCACAAAGGTGGACAAATATCTGTCATCTTTTTGTATTATTTACAGAATTTGATGGTCCAGAAAGCTGCATGAAAGATACTGACAGCTAATTGCATCTCCACAGAATTTCACTTTAAATAATTCAAACTATCAGCTTAAGGTTGAAGTTGTTCTGATCTTTTTCTAACTACTCGTTAGCTGAAATCAATGGTGAAATCTAATCTCTGTTTTTCCAAATTTAGGTTGTTTAGAAAACAGCAGGTGATCTACTGACAGCAATTAATATATATTCAGAACCCCATTTAAATAATCCATGGCAGTGCTTTAAATTAATCTCTGGAAGAAAACGTCTAACATAACAAGCAGCTTGAGCAGCAAAACAAGTGGAAATCAACAGCAAGCATCCCCAGACAAGCCTTTATCCAACTTTTATGGGGTAAACAGAAGTACTAAACACAAATATTGCGCCACTTTAAACACTGAGAGAAAGAAAATGACAAACTTTCAGTTTAGCCATGAAGTCTGCATACATTACAGCAATATTACTCCTAACGCTTGCCTGGAGTTGGGAGTTCAAAACTAAAGATCACAGACACTGAGCTGTTTGATGATGAGTCTTATTGCAGCTTCCTTAATAGCTTAGAGTGAGCAGCTTGTTGAAGCAAAGCTGCATGGTGGAGCAGAACATATGTAAAGACAGCAGAGGAACCAAAATGGTCATAAATTCATGCAAGTTGTTCACCGAGTGCCAAAATAAAAGTCAAGATTATGACTCATTAGGAAATAGCTGAGAAAAAATAAGTGGTTATACAGTAGCTGTGGAAGCTATGTCACAAAGGTGCTTGATGTACACAACTAAACCTATTTTTGAGCCTAGAAGCGTTTGCACATAGAAAGGAAGCAAAACTATATGAATCTTATGAAGCAATCAGCGCTGCTCCTTGTAAAACAGATGACACTTGAAATAGATTTGTTTCCACTTCCTTGACATATTTCAGGTGAACTTATAACACATACCTCATGTTTAATTTATGCTTTTTATGCTGCATTTGAACACCAAATGATACAGGAAAGCATCACTGGCTACCATCACTGTCAGGGGGAGTAAACCCCACATCACTGCTGTACAGTACTATCATGAACTCCTTCTAGTTTCTTTCAGTCGCATTGAACCAGGTGAAATGTCACAATTCTCACTTCGGTGCTTTGTTTCGGTGACGAAAGTCGGCAGCTTTCAGCGTTTGCATGTGAGGCTGTTTGGGTCAGCTGCTTCGAGTGTTTTTTCTGCCATTTGAATCCAGAAGAAAGATGTGAAATTATGTGCCGTGTGAGGCCCAGAAGCCATTTCCTTTTACTTTCAGACACCGAGTGAGTCTCTACTGTATGCATGTGCCGTGTGTCTGTTTTTGAGTCTTTCCAGTGGGTGTTTTTAAAACGACTTTTACTGGCGCAGATGCACAGTGTTGTAGAAAATGAAACAGAATTACTAAAGGGTGACATTTTAGATTAGACTGTCTTTTGTCTGTGGTCACCATGAAATTCAGAAGCAAATGAGCTATTTTCCATTACTAAACTTCCTTTATGAGTCTATGTGTTGGCCAAGTAAAGTCAATTTAAAAACAACTCAAGTTCAGGAAAATGAACCAGTGAAAAACCAATGCTTTTGCAAAATGACTGTACAATGGCTTTGAAATAGTAATAATGAAAAAATAGCTTTGAATATATAGATGAGCTTCGAAGAAGCGGGTCCAGAGTCACACGCCTGAAATGAAAATTAACTTGAAATTTGAATGAAAATCTGTTTCGATTAAATATTTGGCAATCAAAACATAAAAGTGTTTTTACAAAACAAACAAAAAAAAGCAAACAAAAAATAACCTTACCTCAAGAGTTTAATACCAATTTGTGTCACATAACATTTGGAAACTAATCCTGTGGACTTTTTGGGAAATTTAAGTTCCCATTGTGACTTTGTGTCAAAATAAAATATTTTTTTGGCTTAGAAGCTTTTCTGCAGAGCTAAAGTATGTAATGTAAGTAAAGAGAGACTGAATGAATAAAAGATACAACTGATGATCAACATTTTGTCTTTCCTCTTGTAAAACTTTTTATTCTGATGTTTGTACTGAAACTTCTACAGTTCAGAAGATAATTATTCATAACCTGGGCGAGTTTAGGTTGAAAGTAATCTTATACTTTCAGCAACATAATATTTCCTCACTAGTGGAAATATTAAGTGTGTTAGAGTCGCCTTGAGAACTTGTCATATGATTTCTAGCAGCTCATCAAAGATAAATCATCAAAATACCAGTGGAAACACAAAAAAGCTGGTCAGAAATTATAAACAAATACTTGAATTTTCTACTGAGTGAGTTTGAAATGTAATTTTTTTTCTCAAAAATGATGCTTCTTTTAGATTATCTTTTGAAATATGTGTCTCATTTTCTCTGAGAAAATGAATGAATGAGTTTTAAATCAGTAAGTGCGAGGTGTGTGAACCATTAATGACCTGCCTGAGTGTGCTCAAATTTTATTCGATTCGAACTGAGTAATCAGGATAGTGAGTCTGTCACAAAATATCAGGAAGGTTTGCTGAGAGGATCTATGACATTCTTGACACTTCTCTTTTTTACATACACAAAATGGAAGAGATTGGTTCAGTGTCATCCAGAAATTGACATCCACCTTCAGTACCAACATGGAGAACATGTTTTTTTTTTTCTTCCAAATGTCTGGTTTGAATCATTTTTCTTCTGGGTACAAAGTTTTGAGTTTCCAGTATCAAAACTCAAAACCTGCTCAAATATGGACAGATTCCCCCATTATTTGGTTAAATGTCTCTGGTCAGATGTATCTCAACCACATGCTTCTAGTTGACACAATTTTAGTTCTATATTTGAACTGGTAGAGTTCCCTTACATTGGTTTTGGGAAGAGCCTGATTATTCCCCAGGCAGTTTAGATGTGTGTTTGGAAAGCCATTTGGCAGAAAACAACCCCACAGTGCAATGCTGCCACCAACATGCTTTAAAGTGAGAAATGTCCTTGTGGAGAAATAGACATTGTTTTATGTGCGCTATAATGCCCCTCAGCATGATGCAACCACCACCATGCTTTGCAGTTTGTACAGTGATGTTTTTGCCTCACCTCAGTCTTATTAAACTTTTCTTTAGAGGGTGTTTTTCAAGTTTATTTCAAACCTGAAGGTGGGTGTGGCGCTGGGACTTAATTTCCTTATATGCGCACTACTATGGCTTTAATGTGGGCACAACACAAGTTTTCCAGCAGCCTCCAGTTCATGTTAGGTTTGAGTCACCGTGGGTTTTGGGCTGTTTTTGAACAGTTTAATCATTTTCCTGACATCTGATGTCACCAGTTTCAGATTAAATTAAACATTTCAGATGAGTTTACGTACTTCTCACTGGAACTGTGCAGGAAGAGTCTGAAAATAAAGAGCATATTGTTAGACCTGTGCTCACACCCTGTGGGACAGCAGGGTGTGAGCACAGCAGCTTTATTCATGGCGACAGATTTTTATTTTTACATGACTTAAGAAGTTTTTATCTTTGCCAAGAGAAAGATCTCTGACCATACTTTCAGTAAGAGAGATGAATGATTAGAAAAAATATGTATTGTTGTCACTATAATGACTAATTTGTTATGTGTCACTTCTTGGTGAATTCAGGGAACTATCTGAACACTTCTACCTCTTTTTACACCCATCATTGTCTTATTTTTTCCTTGAAATTCTGGGAGTTGGACATTTTGGTTGCTTTCTTTTTTATTTAATAAAGAACTGAACTCAACAAAAAGAAGATGTCTTCTTAGAAAACAACAACCAAGACAGACGTGAAGCTCATGTGGATATTGTGAAGATCAGCTCCTTCTTCATGTTGTGGTTGAATCAGATCTTAGTTTAAACGGAAAGTGATGACACTTTTGAGGCATAAAAACTTAAAGACAGTTGGCTCATGTGAGAGCGCTGAAAGTATAAACACCACAGCAGCAGCAGTGAGGGGCGGAGGAGGCAGGGAGGCAGGAAGACAAAACCAGGTAAGGAAATAATGACACAGATTATGGTTAGAGTCTATGAGAAGACAAACCGAGGCAGACTCGCCTACAGGAAGTTTGACAAAACAATAGAAGCAGAAGACAGGGAGAACTTCACCGAAGGTAAGGTCTTATCATTTTTATTGTGTATCATCAGGAAATAAAGAAAAATATGTATAAATGTTATTGTGCGTTTTTAAAAGTAACAAGAATGAGCAACACATATAGAGCAAAACATTTTCTTCAGTACAATATAGTCACCTGCATATCGTCTAATTTCTCGCCTGCAGAATGGGGACTGTGCAATACTTCATGGCTGTGCTGTTATCTGCACAGTTGGTGCTCAACTTTCCCACGGTAAAAAAAACCATTTCCTCATCTTGTTCACCTTTACTCATGACTGAAAGAACCATTTTTCATACTTAAAAAATATGTCACGTGTATGAAGATATTCTTCTTATTTGTACTTAATAATCAGAGGTTGAAGAGGATGGCAGATAACAACCGTATTGTATGCTCTGCAGGTAAAATTACATTTTTATGTGTAGTAATTTTTTTTTTAATGTCTTCTTTACAAAGTTTTAAACTCACTTTGTGATCATGCATTAATAATGTTTGTTAGATATCTGCATTTTGTTTGTGCCCTCTTGGCAGAATGAAAAAAGTTACACATACTGCGCCCCGCCATCTCCACTCTACAACCACATCCTTGATTTATATGCACTACAGGTCTGCAGACACTCATCCTGTTGTTCTTACTTGTTTCTCTCTCTTCTGCCAGGTAAATTTCTAAATTATCATGACAACAAGTGCGAACACTGTCCTGAAGGATTTTACACCGAAAGGAGCAACCAGGAGCCTTCATGCCATAGCTGCTTCAGAGACTGCATACCAAGTAAACAAATCTGCATCAACTCTACCCTGAATAACTTGATGCATGCATGTGAGATCATCAGCAGAGACTCTGCTCTCATGTCTGGCTTTTGGCTCCTTTAGAGTATCATCTGAAAGAAGTTCAGAGCTGCACAAGTAAAACCCCCTTAAAATGCGAGTGTGAGTCTGGTTACCGATGCATAGACATGGATCCCAAAGGGAACTGCAAGCAGTGTGAAGAAAATGAACCCCCACCAGGTAAATCCTGACAAAGTCCTATTTTAATTAAGACTAGACAGTTAGAAATTATATATTTTAATAAAAAATTACACAGACTGATCAAATACATAACAACACAACACAGTTTTAGGAGTGATCCAGCCCAAGGTTGTGAAATGAAACTCGATGTCTTTACTCAGTCAGGTTCTGATAGTTATCAGGAGTTTTTGCACAACCTCAGTTTAGAGAAACGGAAAGAAATCCCGACCAGACAGTCAAGCTAATGGTTTGTCTGATCTAACCGTTCTACCACATTGAACCACTTCAGCCTTACAGGAATGATTCAGATACAGAGATTTTATGAGCAGTCAGTATCCAACCTGCAGCAACCAGCTCTGTGAAGGAAACTGAAGGAAGCTCTTTCTGGAGAGTCAAGGACATAACTAATGAATAGTTAGATTATTTCAAGTGTAGGATCTAAGAAGACACATTGTTTGAGGAAAATAAAAGAAGCTGTAGGATGAAATGTTAAAACTTTAATGTATCCTTATTTTTAAGTCACAAAAACATTTCCTATTAAGTGAAAAACTTTACGTTTCACAGGATGTGAGATCTTTATAAAGATTCAAACTCACATTCAGTCCTGTGGAGCTGTGTGTTATAATAAACAGATTGGTTTATTATGGTGACAGACTCTAAATTACTGTCTAGGTTTACCTTTACTGACTAGCATAGTTTTCAGCTTTAGTTATGATATTCAGACATTTCTACTTATCTGCTCTGCTTCTCTGTCATCCATAGGTTTTAATTATTAATTAAATTTAATTAATTAATTAATTAATCTTAATTAATTAATTTTAATGTATCACCTTCTAATGTGCTCTTAGTTGTTTTTGTTTGTCTAAAATCTTATTGAAATTATCTTTAAAAGATAGTTTAAATCTGCTTGAGCATGACTAGTGAGAACCGATCTCTGTTTCTACAAACTAGATGATACTAAGTGAAGGTAAAAGAAAAAACCAGCAGTTGGATGAAAACATTTATCCCCTTTGGATCAACATCAAACCATTATGGATGCATAAAACATGGTCTTCCTGGTTTGATGATGATGTAAGGCTCAAACTACTTATTTTTGTATCACTTCAAATGACATCAGAACAAAAGAACAAAATAAGAATGTGATGAAGCTGCCAGAATTGCCTCTTACTTAGTTTGACCTTCATGGGGAAGTTTGAAGATTAATTTTAACATTACATGATATCTTTATGCTGAAGAGTGAAGACTGGTTTGGTTTACACACCTCAGAAGATAAGAGCGTGTGTGGGCAGCGTGTGAGGTGCTGCTGATGCATCTACCTGTCACAAACCTCATTGTTGTGTTCACTGCCCCCAAGTGGCTGAAATATTGTTACTAAAGATTTTTTAAAAAGACTAAGAAACATGTGGGTTTGAGTGTCTGGGGCTTTTTTTTTTCTTTTTTTTTTACATGTTATTAACAAACACAACGAGAGAAAATAAGACAATAATGTGATTATAGGTGAGCAAGGAAACTGGAGTCGCTCAGTCTTATAAAAGTGACATTTTATTTCATCTCAAGAAAGAGTGAAAACAAAAAGTGATACTTTGGATGCTTTTATTCTGGTGAAAGCTGAAACAAAGGTGTGATGTTTCTCATCTCCAACAGCGACTGTGGGCAAAGACAGACAGACTACCTCACCTCAGGATAAACCCTGCAGCTCCTCCAGGTGAGTCCTGGTTTTCGCTGCATCACTGTGAAAATACTGAGGAATAGAGAATCCGGAATGGTTCTGGAGGTCCAGCTCGATGATGACGCCTCTTTTTGTTCTCATATTTTCCTTTTCATCCCTCTCAGGTGCAGGTCTCCTGCTCCGACCCCCGCTAATCCCAAAGCAGGTGAGTGTGTTTGAGTCTGAGGGGAAAA